TGAACTCAATTATGAATTTTTGACATAATTAGTTCACAACTGTGCGCACGCCCCGCCCACAGTGTGGCGGTACAGCTTAGTTCAGGTGTATTTCGCACACCTTGGGTCCACACCCTATCCATCCCACCCTTGACCCGAGCCCTCAGACCGGCTCTTCAGGTAATGCCGAATTTCTGGACAGACACACAGACAGACAGGCAGACAGTGAGACAGACAGACGTTGCCGTTTATAGGAAATAGGATGGGTCACAGAGAGGGTAACAACTGATAGGGGCTGATAGGAGGCGTTGTAAGGAGTTCGTTCACGTTTGAGGTCCACAGCACAATCAAGAAAAGAACCAGCGCAAGCTTTACGAGAAAGGAAAAAACTTAGCATTAATCGTGATTCATCATGGTAAATCATTTCGCATTGTTTTTTCACGTCAGGCATGCAGTAGTGCGCGCCAGAAAAATTGTGTTTTAATGAACCAAGTAAGAAAGTTTTTTTATTCAGTTCTGTCTGGAGTGGGTCTAGCAGTGAGAGGTCAGCAGCAGCATCTCCTATTAAGCGGGACGTGGGACTATCCCACTGGCAAGCATGCGGGAGGTGCGAAAAAGTATCATCTCAATCTCTAAGGTCATCTCAGACTAAGTGAACACACCCATTCGAAAGCCATTACTCCACCTTGGAATGCTGACAAGTCATTTTGACAGGGAGCTTGACAGTTGATATCAAGGGTTACGGGGTATTGACAAGGTTGTATGGTACTCACATGACTGAAGTTTAGAGGCTTTCACTTATTTTGTGTCTCACGAGGTTGTTAGGTCCACTGCCATACAGGGCGCAAATTAGTTAAAATAGAGGGGATCGCCTTGCCCTGCATAATACAATGCTTGCGAGACGCACCTAGCGCTCTGTCATTCTACACCTCACAGTGCGGTATAAATGGCAGCATTCATTCGTTACTGAGGGGCACTCACCTCGGCTGTTCAATGCGGGTTTTTTTACTGGGCATCCAGATTGCTTCTTAGGCTTTCTCAACAGAAATTTTCCCTTTCATGAGCCAGCACGGTGCACTTTAGTTCAAATTTTACATAATTATGCTGCTCAAGTTTATGCCTCTCAACCGCTGTTGTTAGAGTGCCGCTTGCTGTTTTGGTCTCCCCAGTATACGTGGAGCTACATGCCTGTCACTGTATTTTGTACTATATTATATTTTATATTATTCCCATTTGCATTCAATCGCCCATTTGTTCCTGCGCGCAAGTACATAGCACAGTGCTCTTAGGCTGCGTTTATATTGCGGCAGCGTAGCGTAGCGCTTCCAGCGTACGCCGGCGGCAGTGTCGGGGGAAGAATAGATATCCATCTAGCGTTCCCAGCGTCACCAGCATGCGCTAGCGTTACGCCAGCGCACGCTAGCGCTTGCAGCGACGGGCTAGAGAGAGGCTAGAGAGTATTCAAGAGTAGGAGAGGACAAAATACTTCCTCCTGCTCTTCTATACTCTCTAGCCCCTCTCTAGCCCGTCGCTGCAAGCGCTAGCGTGCACTGGCGTAACGCTAGCGTACGCTGGTGACGCTGGGAACGCTAGATCGATATCTGTTCTTCCCCCGACACTGCCGCCGGCGTACGCTGGAAGCGCTACGCTATGCTACGCTACGCTGCCGCAAACTATAAACGCAGCCTTATGTGCACAGCTTGTCCTACAGCCACCTCGCGTAGCTCTTGTGAGCCAATATGCTGCCTTTTCCGAAGGTGTGATGCAGTGAAACCATTCACAGTGGCTTTTTTGATAGCCAGCTCCATCGGTTCTTCTGGCTCTACATTACAACCCTTCCGCTTTGAGGGGTAAGACCGTCGATAATTTTGTTTTTGTGGTTTCTAATGTCTTTTCGAGGGCTTTCTGACAGATGCTAGAGCCGCTAGAGTTGTCGAGGCGCCTGATAGGGTAGATTGTGATTCACTCCTTAAAACATGCTCCGGCCTCTAAAGACGACACCACTTAAACGTTAGTCAATACTGAATAAACGTTTTACCTAACAACCTCGTAAGTCACAGAAAAGTAAACTAAAAAAGAGAAAACTTACAATCAAGACGCCGAGGTTGCAAGAAGAGAGAAGTTGAGGAATGCAAATTACAGGATCTGGTGCGCTGACAAGCGCTCACAGGTGTGCCCCCCTCCCCAAAAGAAATACGGTAACTTCAGTAGGCGAAAAACCACATACAGTACTCCCAAAGGAGCCGTCAATAAATCTGGGTGCACACCAAACACGGAATCTCACGAAAACAGCGTCGAAATTGCATGGACAACGCGCGTGTGTTGTGGTTGCTATCGTCGAGCATTTTTTGAAGGTTGGCGAGAGGAATAGTGTAGTTATCGATCTGGCATCGACACCTACACTATACTTTTCGCTCAAAACGCTGGCATTCCGCTGATAAGATTCAAAACGCTAGGTCGCTAGCTAATATTCCTTTCGCCCAAAACCCTCGAAACGCTCAAATCCAGACGAGAATTATGAACGCAGCTCACCGCAACCCAGTTCAAGTAGTTTTGCCTTCATTTTCGATCAAATAATAGTCTGTTTAGGTTTTAAAAACAACACGACTGCATCGGAATAGGAAAGTTTTTGCCTTCCAGGTTAGTGAACAAATGTTGTTGCACTATGAAGAACTTTCCACATTTCAGCACCGCTCCTAGGATGCCTAGAGTAGTTCAGGTTTCAACTGCGAGCTTATTCTTGAAGCTGTGAATAGAGCCTGTTGTGGCGGTTCAGTAGCGGTTTTGCAGATTGCGGACGAGACGAATAGTCCAACCGTTTACCGTGGTTATAACACAAGTATAGTGTTTGAAGCTACGCCACGCCTCGAAGAGTGGGAGGCGGGTAGTAGGGAGAGAGGGTCTTGGACATCGTGGCGATGGACCTGACCGACTATGGATCTCGTACTCGCACTGTATTTTGTCCAAAAAAACTATGCTAGTCATCATTGGACTAAGACTCTTGATAACAATGGGTGTTGTGATGTTATCTATTTTGATTTCGCCAAGGCTTTCGACAGGGTATCGCACGCGAAGCTTATCCATAAGTTGAAAGAATTGAAATTTCATCCTGTTCTTATTAACTGGATTACCAATTTCGCTGGTAGATCTTTCCAAGTAAAGGTTGGGAAGTCTATTCCGACAGTAAAGAAGTTACAGTGGCGCTCCCCAAGGTGGAGTTCTGTCTCCGGTGCTGTTTAACGTCATCACCGCAGAGATTCCCAGTTTGTTTCGAGGACTTGGCGTTTCGACCAAAATATATGCAGATGATGTGAAGATTTACAAGAGGATTCTGGGACAGTCTGACTGTGAAGATCTTCAGAGAGCCATTACCCGACTTAGTGACTGGGCAAAAACATGGCAGCTTCCTCTCGCCCCGCATAAAACGATTTGCATGCGAATTTCCTTGGATTCGGGAGCTATTCCTTACCCGTACACCATAGATGGTTTTGCCGTCTCCCCAGTCAACTCTTGTTAGGGACCTTGGTTTTCGTTACTCCAACACTTTAGACTTTTCCGAACATATCAAAAAACGATGTAACTTGGCTTATCTTAGGACGCATCACATTTTTCAAGGGTTTGTCCTCTACTAACAAGTCTGTTCTGCTCAAGGCATACAAAACATATGTTCGTCCTTTAGTAGAGACGGGAGCTGCTGTGTTCTTCCCCACTAAGAAACGGGATGTGTTAGCTTTGGAGAAGGTGCAAAATAACTATACTCGCAAAATTCTTTTGCGAACCAGGAGCTTCTTGTATTCGAGGGTTTACAAAGCTTCCATCAGGAACAAATACTTCGAACTTCCCACCCTCGAAACACGTCGGATGGTAGCGGATGTGTGCATGGTTTACAAGCTTATGTACGGGTCTAAAAAGTCAACTCCTCTCAATTTGTTTGAAATCCAGCAATCACGGACGAGGTGGGCAAGATAAAACTCTCTTAGCTTGTCCAAGGACCAGGGTGAGAGCTGCTAGCTTCTCATTCAGAGCTGCGAGCACATATAAGAGGGTCACAAAGAATTTGGCCATTCCCAATAGCGACAGCTTAAGAGGATTGTAGCTGCACGGCTACTTAGTCACGGAACATCCTAGTTGTTTGAGATTGACTTCAGAATTTCCTAACTTAACCAATAGTTGAATAATCTCGGATCGTTGCCACTCGAGTCGCATCATTTCACTTTGATTAGTTTGATATCTTCTTGATATACTGAGTTAGCGTATTTTCCTAGTTGATATATCGTTGTCGTCTGTTCCCAGAAAGTTTTCTTCTTGATGTTCTTTGTTTGCTGTTCTCTCACGTTTGCCTTATGCAGCGTAATAAACATAAACATAAACATTCCCCGTATCGCACGAAACCAACGGCAAGCAAGCAGGCAGTGATAAGGACAAGGAGGCTATGCTCTCATCAGAACCACAGAATTATGTATATGAATGTGGATAATTGAAACCACTACTCGAACATTTAACGAAGCAGGGCATTTATCACGAAATGAATGCGGGACCTGTGAAGGAGAGCACATGCAAAACTATGTTGTTCTACTAATCTAACCAATTTTCGGGGAAGTCTCGTGACATTTTCAATTGGAAAATGCTTCAACAAGATGCCTCATTAATGTGAAAGGACTCCACTGCAATGTCATGAGAAACTCTGACCCAAACGCGGACTATTTTTGATGGGTGTCGTTGAAACCCAATTATACAGGTACATTTGTAAATAGAAAAATGATTTATAGCATTCAACGGACCTAAAGTTCTTACGAACACTCTCTATGCAATCGTGCAATCGTTCTAATCCTTTGGATATCCTTAGCATCGCAAAGCGTACGTTTCCCAAGCGATTTTGACGCTGCTGAGGTGAGATACTGTGTCTGGTGTGCATCCAGATTTATTTACGGCTCATTTCGGGGAACGGTGTATGGTTCTTCGCCTACTGAAGTTACCGTACTGTCTAAAAGAATATCACCGCCAAGAACGTTTCTGATAATATGAAGCATCAGCTTTCTACTCCATTGCCGTTTATAGACATATCTTATTTCAGGGCGCACAAGTTCATTGCCAGATTCTTCAAGCAACCTACTTTTTGTTCACATTGTAAAGACTTCATATGGGGATTGACCAAGCAAGGTTTTCAGTGCCAAGGTCGGCAATCCCATGCACACTCCTATGGCAGCTACACATCAAAGAGCTTTTTAGTTTGCTGTCTCGTCGTCCACAAACGCTGTCATGAATTTGTAAACTTCTCTTGTCCAGGTGCCGACAAAGGAGCGGATACAGACGTTAGTACACTTTCAGTAATTCAAACTGTTATCGGTTAGTCCTCTGTTCTGCGCTACATTCTTTACTTGGTAGTTTGAAAAGTTACTTGACAGTTTGAAAAGATGTACAAAGTTCATGTGAATGCTGCGAAAGCCCAGAGGAAGTTTTCTGTCCGTTTCAAAACACAAGCGAAAAAATTGAAAATGCTTCTTCTGTATTCAGCCATTAGATGGGATTAATTGGATTTCAGGTTAACCCCGCTCCTCTGAGTCGAAACTTTTCCTTAATAATCACACAGCCTTGATTCAGGACCCGCGTCAGCAACACAAATGGAAAGTGCAAACATATTCATCACCTACCTTCTGCGAGCATTGCGGTTCACTACTTTATGGATTAATTCATCAGGTTGGTAGCAGCACAGGAGACACGAAATGTGTCTTGTTCATGGGAGTTCTGTGGCTTGTAGAATGAGCCGGACGAAATACCCAAACGGTCATAGGCAACACTGATGCCAACATGCTGAACCAGGGCGTGTTGCTCGTTTTTTTTTACTGCAATCAGTCAGGAAGGTCCAGTGAATGGAAGTGAAGCTGTGAAAATAGTGCGGAAACCTTAAATTCGCTTAAGTTTGCTTGATATTGCATAATAGAAATAACATAAGCAATTGCTTGGAATGCCTAACTAGGGAAGGTCGTCAGGTCGAAGTGGCCATTTGTGATGAGATGTAGATCACTAGACGTGGTTTTGGACGCTGATCTTGAACCTGCCTTCAAAATTTGCAAAGCGATTCTCTGAACGGAGTTATGGAACCGCGTTTACCACGCAACAGGTCATGGGATCGGATCCCTGCTGAGCTTAACTTTTTTCCTTGTTGCGCAAACGTGGCAAAAAGTGATTTTGCCGTTACTACTACTTCAGTTCTCACCCGAGCTTGCCTGAAGAAAAGTTTGACTCCATTTATTACTGCGCTTGGCCTCTTTGTAGAAGCATTGTAGGGATCTGTATTCAAAAAGGGGTACAGGCGCAGTAATAAATGGAGGCAAACTTTTCTTCAGACAAGCTCGGGTGAGAACTGAAGCAGTAGTTGATCTGCAAAATCACTTTTTGCCACGTTTGCGAAACAAGCAAAAAAGTTAATCTTAGCAGGCATCCGATCCCATGACCTCTTGCGTGGTAAACGCGGCTCCATAACTCCGTTCGCTGCTGCTTTGCTTTGCAAATTTTGAAGGCAGATTCAAGATCAGCGTTCAAAACCACGTCTAGTGATCTACATCTCATCATAAATGGCCACTTCGACCTGACGACCTTTCCTTCTAAGAAAAAAATGAACCTCACCCCCGCACGACGCCTTCCCTCATTCAACGGACCAACTTAACAATTCGGGTCGTCCATATATCGACCTACACCTATTTCGACCTCCTTAAAAACCATAATTCCATCTGTGTAGCCACGGCAAATAGTAGCTTTCAAGAAAATGGTTACATAACAAGGGAAGGTCTTCGACTCCCTATGGGATCGAGTGAAGACTAGGTGAATCGGGAAAGTCGCGAAAAGTTCTTACCATTGTGGGGAACGAACTATCAGGGGGTCAAGATATAACTGCGCGTTTCAACGCTCACTTCAAAAATACACAAAGTTATGCAAAGAGAATTTATTCAGAGACCAATTCACCTTATCATCAATAACCATTCGCAAACGTCGACGTTGAGAACTAATTCCATCCTGACAAAACTAGACCGGCTACGTTGAGAAATATGGGTCACCAATTTTTGAACGCGTTGACGTCACTGAATTTTTTTCTCGGGGAATCCATGCTGCATCGATCGATACAAATGATAATCTGGGGGCGCAATGTCGGGACTGTGTGGTGTATGCAGAGAATTTTCCATCCCAGCACTTCTAGTTTTTTTTTCTGAACGATCTTCGCAGAATGCTGAGCTTCGCTGAGTTCGTAAGGCACCCATCTTCCGATACGATTTTCCTTCCCTACTGCATGTGAATGATTGGTCATAGTCTGCTACGAGCATCCGAACGTTACCGCCAACTCACGAGTGCTGAGGGTCGGAACAGACCCAATGAATTGCTTCAACACTTCGCTATCCAGAATTCCTGGCCTTCTTCTATGTTCTTCATCTTCTAGGCTCCCGCTTCCACTGCGCAATCGCTGGTATTACTGGGCGCTCGCTTTCGGAAATGTTTTCTTCTTCAGAAATGGCTTCACATAGAGTATTGTGCAAATCGGCCGCAGTTTTGCTCAGTTTGAAATCGTAAAGAAGACATGCCCGCAGAATAAATTTTTGATCCACCATTTCTTAAACAATCTTACCAGGAAAGGTCAACAGGTCGCCATGGCTTCAGGATGGGACGCATATTGGCGTGTGCCTCTTGGGACACTGAACTCAAATTTGCTTTCAGAATTTGTGGGACATTCTCTATGGGAAGTCAAGAGGGGTTCCCAGCACAGTACAAGCCGAACACTCTTTGTGCTATCACAGGAATGCTGAGTTATGGGCAAAAGTCGCACCACGGACGGGATGCGAACCCGCATCTTCTGCTTACCGGGCAGTTGCGTTCCCCATTACGCTACCGAGGCCACTTCTGACCACTCAGCTCAATGGCTATTTGTGCCATAGCCTTACAGCACTCACACGCTCAACGTGATGAGCCAGTTAGCCGATATCGGCAGTGAACCGCAAGGCTGAAATCTTCTTACAAGTTTCATGCTGTTATGGTTTGATAAATGCTGTTAACGCCGCAGTACGCGATCGGAAAGCTATCACAAGAATGCTGAGTATGGTCAGTTATCAAACAATAACAGCTCAACCTCGTAAAGGCCTTCAGCCTTGCGGTTCACTGCCGATATCGGCTAACCGCTCATCACGTTGAGCGTGTGAGTGGCTGTAAGGCTTATGGCACAAATAGCCATTGAGCTGAAGTGTCAAAAGTGGCCTCGGTAGCGTAATAGGGAACGCAACTGCCCGGGTAAAGCAGAAGATGCGGGTTCGAATCCCGCCCGTAGTCCGACTTTTGTCCCATAACTCAGCATTCTTGTGATAGCTTCCGATCGCGTGCTGCGGCGTTAAACACAGTTATCAAACAATAACAGCTTCAACTCTTTGTGCTAGTTCAAGTTGAGTTTGAAAGTCGGTAGAGACAAGCTGGCGATGGTGCAGTGGGTAGGGTTCGATTCGTTAGCAGATTCGCAGTTTTGCTTTCTCCCGAAACATATTCTGTGAGTCTAGAAAAAACGTCTGTCCGTCAATTTTCGAGTCTGCTCTCATCTGCACATGAAAAAGAGCCAAATGCCGCCTCGTGCTTCAAGGTCGAGACTTTAAAAATAGCTGGCCTCAGATGGTACATGAATGAGTCAAACTTAAGCTTCTCAGGAATGCCTGTGCTGTTCCCAATTTTTTCTGGTGAAGAATTTGTTCAGTCATTTCAAATTACCATTTTAACACAAACCGAATGGGTTGTTTTCTTCCAAAGGACATTTTCAAGCTTCCAGCTTTTACTTAGTATTTCGTGCGGGTAAAACTCATATTATGAGCACATGTTGTAATTTCCAGAAACGGTTAAAGCGAAACAAATCCCCACAGTGAGCACAACGAATGATGAAAAACTCTTCTTAACTGGTGTAGTCATATCAATTCAGAAGGGAGTCAGTAATGAGTAGGTAATACTATTCACAGGTTTGCTAGATTACAAGATTTGCTCCGCTATATGCAGGAGAAGGATAAAAGTTCGTAAATCTGGGGAGCAAAGTTGAAAATAAATTAGAGAGAGAGGAAGAATATAGTCCGGACTGCCGAAATCGATTCGTAGGAAGTGAAAGGTCTATAGATCGAATTAAATAGTAGGAAGGAACAACTTTTCAAAGGTTGAATCTAGAGTGCAGCACTTGGGGGTATATTGAGGACTTTCAAACGCTTTTTAGATGACAAAGCCAGTTGAATAAGGTTGTGGTCTTTGAAAGAGCTCCACGAATCAACCATCACAGGTGTTGACTGGAGAGGCAGTCTTACCCAGTTCACCATAGGATGCTTATTCATAATATGAGTTTTATTCGCACGAAATACCAAGCTAGAAGCTTGAAAATGTCCTTTGGAAGAGAACACTCTCATCTCTGAAGAGAAACAAGAGATTGCACAATACGACGAATTTTTTCTAAATGAAAGTTTTTTGGATTATAGGTCACAAAAGAACCGCCTGTATGTACATTTTTTTTGATTCGCGAGAAATTGAATACTATTGAGGTTTCCTCGTTAAAAAATTTACTCCTTTGTTGCTTCCAATAAAGCCGAACTCCTTAATTCTACAACCACTTCGTTTGAATTTATGTACGCTCAATAGTACCATCTCTGATATGCAGAAAACCATACCGTGACACGGCGGTAGCCTTCGGAGCAAAGTTTGATTGCAATTCCAGGGAATGAAGTGTCAGTCGTGCGATGCGAATGTCCACCATCGTTGCGTTCGCTACGTGCCAAATATGTGTGGGACGGACCACACAGAAAAACGGGGTCGAATCTCGCTGGAAATTGTTGCCAAAGAAGGAATGCTGACGGTTTTAGGTGAGTGGCGGATGACGTTACATACAACTGCGCGAAAGGTTCTGCAATAAAGCTCGTTTGATCAAAGAAAGCTCTTCTTATTTCTCAGTAAATCTTTCCTGGTGTTGATCATTTCAACTTTTCTCTGTCACTTTTCAAACATGGTTTGCACAGAATTCACCAACACTGCTCAAAACCACACATTCGGTAATTTCATTTTACACATTCGGAATCTCATTCACTTTAACAGTATCTGCTGCATGAAATAGCTTGCAATTCGACAGGCCAGCAACATTGACTCAAGTAATGTTCGTGGTAGACGCCTATTGGCGGATGAGTGCATTAGCAACACTTTTTTTTCCACATGTGTTCACCGATACAAAAGTAAGAAACAGAGTCGATTTGGTATCGCATGGCTGTGTTTCTGCTGATGCAAAAGCGTGGGAACGGATGTACGTAGGTTCCTTCAAGCCCACATAGGTTACATGTCGAGCGCGCCACGATAGCGACCTGGCGTATCGGGAGAATGAAACGCTAGATACATCGAAACTCATCTGGGAGAGTGGGGACGTAACTGGGAATGAGTCAGTACTGAGGTACAACCAAATGAAAGATGATGGAGGTATGAACATTTCTGAATCGTTGGCTGCGCGATAACGTGGGTGCTGAGACCCAGTATGAGGGCGACTTCACAGAAATGAGTCGGAATGGGTCAGTGCTACTGCCGGTCTTGTGTAGCTCTGAGGTAGAGACTGTGCTGTAGAGAGTGGCCCTTATTGCGGTCGCGCGGCGATGTGTATTGATTTCGGATTTCGCTGGAGTGGTAGGGTCGTTCGTCGGGTGATCACTGCAGTGCTTTTAGGCTCAGAGGATGATTTCGACGAACTTGGGATCGGGTTCTGGTTTCTCATGATCCCAGTTGATTTCTACAGGTGTCCTGCGTAATTCATATGAAGCCTGCCTGAGCTCCAATATCGACTCCGTTTCAAAGCTGAGATTGACCGTGGGTCTCTCGCGATGCCCAGACGGGTGATGCGTCCTTCCTTCCTTCTCACGTATTTGGAACAGCAGAACCTTGCCTCAGCTCCGTAACTTCCGAATGTTCGCTGATTGAGTACTCAAGGTTGCATGTAGGTCTCAGGAACAAAACATGACGGATAACATTGCCTCAGAGCACTTGGGTGCTCTCAAGCAACGAGTTCAACTAACCTGGGGCGGTCAGCAGGTCGCCGCGGCCATTCAAGATGGGATGCATGTCGACGTGTACGTCTCGGCATGCTGAACTAAAATCTGCTTTCAGAATTCGCCGAATGATTCTTTAGAAGGAGTTGGGGTGAGAGGAGGGGTTCTAGCAAAGCACTCGCCGATCCTCGTTTGTGGTAACTCAAGTTAAGTTCGAGAATAGACAGTCCAAGCTGTTGATGGTTTGGTGGATGGTTAGTTGCTCAAAATATGCGTGGTCGGGGTTCGATTCCTTGCCACATCTTTCGTGAGTCCAGAAAGTACTTCCATTCCGTTATTTTGGCAAGCTCTCATTTGCAGCAGGAAAAGAGTTAAATGCAGGCTATTGTGCTCCTCTTTCGAGACTTTCATTATGAAAAATAATCGGTTTGCAAATGGTACATGAATAAGTCCTTCTACAACCACTCAAGAGCAAGTGGGGTTCCTTCACGGATTAGTCAAAGCAGAGAGCTCATCAAATAAAGAGGAACTCTCCACAACCAGTGCAGTCACAGTGTCCTATCAAATCAGAACGGAAGCAATTGAGCAGTGGTTTCAGGTTCACCAGGATTTGCATCAAACTATCCCGCTACATAGCAGAATCAAAGTAATCATAAGCACCCTTCAAATCGATGTACGAGCGTTTTACTTCGTACATAGTAGCACACGATATAAATTTCTCTATACGCAGTCGGGACTCAATTCTCCGCCTTCTCTCTCTCTCGTTATTTTCAATTTTTCTCTGCTCGTTCCAAGAACTTCTTGTCCTACATATTCCTGATATGTAGCGGGATACTCTGATGCAAATCCTGGTGAATTCGAAACTCATGTTCAATAGTGCTTCGCTCCTGAGATGGGACATTGTGACTGCACCGGTTGTGGAGAGTTTCTCTTCATTTGATGTGCTCATTGCGGGAAGCTTTTTGCTTTGACTATTCCGTGAAGGAACATCAAATGTGCTCTAGAGTAACTGTATTTTGGCTCAAGCATGTGCCATATGTAAAGCGGTTATTTTCATAATAGAAGTAGCGAAAGAGAAGCAAACTGCCGGCATTTGACTACTTTCCTGCTGCAAGTGAAAGCAAGCTTGGCAAAATAACGGAATAAAAGCACTTTTCAGACTCAGAGAAGATGTTGCGGAAAAAACAAAAGCACGAACCTGTCAAGGAATCAGACCGTTAACCTCGCATCTATGAAGCAATTTACTATCCACTACACTATCGACCGCATGTAACTATCTATCTCGAATCTAACTTGATCTACTGATCGGCGAGTGCTAGGCTAGAATTTCTCCCCTCCCCTTCCCCAAATCCTCCTAGAGAATCATTCGGCAAATTCTGAAAGCAGATTTGAGTCGAGCATCCCGGGACGTACAGATCGACATGCGTCCCATCCGGCGACCTGTTGACCTTCCCTGGTGTTTAGTTGACGACGTACTTTCTGAGGACGCACGCCATTGCCATTTTTTGGGAGGTTTCTCTCGTGTCAGCTCAAGGGCAAACTTCTCGATCACAGGTTGTTCATAGTGGAACCCAGATACGAACAACAAGCTTTTAAATAACTGAGCAGTGAAGAAAGAATAAAGAACCGTTCAGAATGCTCTATATAGGAACCACTGCCGACGCATGCCTCTGCGAGCACACGGTGAAGAGAAAGCATATACACTGCGAAGCATAATCATAGTTCCACCCATGAATCTCACAAAATTCCTTCTTACACGACGTTCACAAAAATGCCCAAATGCAGAAAATGTGGTAATTACCAATACCAGTTGGCAGGCCAACACCGAATTCTAGCTTGAAAAACAGATATCGATATCAGTATCGCCAAGAATTCCAAAAATGGTCGTTCTGACAACGTTGCAAAAGTAGTTCCGCCTCATATTTTCCGGCTACATCTCATTTCTGTTTGGTGAAACTTCTCATCATTATGACCTCTTACCTCCTCTAGGCTACGGCAAGTGGAACGCCATTAATGGATCTCGAAAAAGGACAGATTATCGCAAAGAAGACTCAAAAACTGGTGAATCGTCGAATGGCGCGGGATGCTGGCCACACTCACCATGCTACCAACAATTTTCGAAGCTACCTGCAGGATACTGAGTTGAAAAGAGCGAGTTCACCCATAGGGGGAATATGAGTTGCGTACTGTTTCTAACGGAAAACCATCGCGCAAACTTAATTGGATTTGCTCGAAGATGTTACCGAACCCGATGGAGTGAGGTTAGCTTTTGGCTGCGGTGCCCTACTGCGTGCCTGTGTTGTTTTTTTCAGTTTTTTTTCCGCGGTCGTGTTTTCTGATGAGAAAAAATTGAACTGCGACGGCTCCGACGAAAACCGACTCTGCTGGCACGACCTGAGGGAAGACAAGTTTCATTTTTCCAGGCGGAACTTCAGTGGATGTAGTCTCATGGCCTGTGCTGCCATCGCATGAATGGAACGTCTGAAACTGCGCTCTGTATGGAAAAGAAATGATTTCTTCCGTCATACGTCATGCGACAACGTCTCCTTACTTTCTGGCGCAGAAAGCAGCAAGAAAGTTCCGTTCTCATGCAGTAATGCACCAGTTCATGATAGTCGAACACTCGAGCGTGGTTCAATCGTCACCAGATCGCACTTTTACGCTGGCTAGCGAGAAGCCCCGACTAAAACCCAATCGAGGGTGTGAGGGGCTTCGTGGTGCCTATGATCTATGAGAGTAGTGCACAATTCCACAATGTCCGTGAGCCCAGGGAGTAATCATTGGGCAGTCGCCCGAAAGCCTATTAAAATCTCTATTCAAACATGGGCAACCGTAATTTCCTACTTAATTGGACAAATAGAGTTCCAATAGATTACTGGATCAAAATTTATTCATTTTATTGTACACTTGTTGTTGAAATGTTCGATCTGTTCGGTGGGCCTATACTTTTGCTACGTTCTCGAACGACCATTTTGAAAAAATTGACGAAAAAAAGTTGTTTTTTCAAGTTAGTGTTTGTTGTTGGCATGCGAATTGGTATCGGCAATTACCACCTTTTTTGGATGGGGGCATTTTGGAAAGCTTGTGTAGGACAGGTCTTTTGTGGGATTCATGGGTGGAACTATAATTATGCTTCGCAGTGTATGTACGAATTCTCACTTGTTGTTATCACCATAATATCGGCTGTTTTCCGTTATCAGTTCACTCTCTACTCTTCTTCTACTAGCTAGTAGCCCGTCTACTAACTCTCACCATTCAGAATGGTGAGAGTTAGTAGACGGGCTACTAGCTAGTAGATGGTAGCCTCTGAGGGTCGGCATGGGCCGAAAGGGTGCTCGTGGGCCTAATTGTTCAGCTTTCTCTGGAATTCTTGTTAACTTAAATTTTTTGGTGTAAATTTGCCCCTACTATTGCCCACTGAATAATCGAACACATCTGAGGACTCTGGCTTGGGTTTATCGCGGAATGTGCCTTTAATGTGCTAGGATGGCGTGAGTAAATTTAAGTACGCGTCTATCTCTCTTGCGAAACACAAAGCAATCGACCCCGAACAAGAAGGTTCCTCCATCGTTATATTTCTGATTTGCCCATGGTACCTTTCCCAGTCACTTCGAAATACTGCAGTTAAGGCAGTCCTCATGCGCGCAATGTCCAGCAAGTTATGGTCGTATCATATCCCCCTACAACACCTAGAGGGGTCGCTCATTACACATGTTTGGGACCCTTAATATTTTCAGAGGACAAAAAATCGGCACTATTCAACTATGACTACCCCAGTTTTGCGAAAACAGGCCGGATCTTGATCGACTTTATTCTACGGGAGCAGATTTGGCTGAAATTTGGGTTTTAGATTTAACACGACCTCGAAAACACAAATATCACATCCGCTTGGCCTGAAAGTGCCTGGCGCCCGCGCCACCCGCCAGTGATTTAAAGCATTTTGGCGTCCGCGCCTGTGGCGCGGTGCCAGGCCGAGCGGAGTGATATTCGTGTTCAGGGGGTCGAAGTACCCCGGTGCACAAGTTTTCAGCGGATTTGGTGATGTACGATACCAGGCAGTTTCGGAAGGAGCGGATGTGATATTCGTGTTTAGGAGGTCGAATTGCCCCTAGGACCCAACTTTCAGCCAGATCTGCCCCGTAGAAAAAGTCGATTAAGATGCAGCCTGTTTTCGGAAAATTGGGAGAGTAATATTTGAACAGTGCCCGATTTTCTATCTCGCTATCTTGGTAACTATTTTTCATCGTCAGGCTCATTCATTCTACGACAGAAACATTGAATCATTTTTTATAAAATGACTGAATACGACCGTAATAATTACTGCTGATTATGAATCATTTCCTATTAAATGACTGATTATGACCGTGATTATAATTATACTGCTGATTAGGTTCATGTTACGAAGGTTAAAGGAAAGAGAGAGAGAGAGAAAAAAGTGACCAGACAGGATTGCTGAAGTGAAGGCAAGAACTCTTGAAGTACTTCAGCAAACAGCTTTCATGTAAAGTTTTGAACCTCTAGGTGAAGCTATTAGAAGCGCGCGACCTGGGCTTGTTCCAAGTTTTTTTTCCGCGACTGTACATACACACTACATACTCGTCATCCGGGCAGTTGATTAGGGCAGTCGTCAACGGGCCGCAGCGCGTGCCAGGAACTATCTGCTTTTTCCAGGCTAATTTAGTCATTTTTTCCAACTTTTCACTGTTTTGGCTAGTTTTTCCCAATTAGCAGCTCCTCATCCTCACAAGGTGGAAAAAAAATGACTAAATTAGCCTGGAAAAAGCAAATAGTTCCTGGCACGCGCTGCGGCCCGTTGGCGACCGCCCTAATCAACTGCCCGGATGACGAGAATACATACATGCATTCATACATACATGCACACATACATACATATACACACACTTTATTTCCCAGAAATGGGGAGGACGTGACTGCTTATTCCATTTGATTATGGTCCCAATTATCCCAATAACATTGCAGAGACTTCCACGTTTGAAGACAGTTGGCACGATACCCATCGGGCAGGCTTTTCGCATAACAATCGGAAAATTTTCGGTAAAGTCAATGTGGATGTCTGTCTGTCAGTGTAAAGTTGCTGAAACAGTACCATCACAGCAGAATGCTAGGCTTAATTGACCTTCAAAAGTTGCTATTTCGGAAATCCATAATGTTGAATGATTGCAGCTAAGCATACAGATACAGTGCAACGCAACCAAATAACAACTCATTGCACGACTTTTATGCAGCTGTATATTGTGTGTTTGATATATAATTGCTATGAATTTATTCTTTCAGTCAAGGAGGCTCGTAATCTCATACCTATGGATCCGAATGGACTGTCCGATCCGTATGTAAAAATGAAATTAATTCCTGAAGACGCTGGCTGCAAATCAAAACAAAAAACAAGAACTCTTCGAGCCACTCTGAATCCAGAATGGAATGAAAAATTCTTTTAGTAAGTGATTTGCCTCGCTACCAAAGATTTTACTCATTTCGCTAGGGAAGGTGCAACAACGTGACCTCCATATCCCGGATGTGCTGAAAGCGTAGCTGTGTCTGTTTGACCTCGACGGCTTCTGTGTTTTTATCGGAGTGTAGCCCTTTGGAATAATTCCAATCATCTCCTTGACCAGCACAACACTGGATCACATGGGGATGTTCCACGAAAAACACCGTATGCCGAGTTCAAATGATGAACGGGGCCACCCCTTATCCATGTATACAGGGGGGGTCAAAAAAAGTCACTTCGACCGAGTCACATATCAGCAAAGTTTTTGCAGCCCAGAGAGAAGACGTGGATACAAGTACCAGGGCGGAAGATGCCCAAGATGTTCCTCGATGAGCAGGAGTGGCCCTCGCCCATCACCTTCATGTACACCAAAATATGAGGTCATTCCAGTCGCAGCCTGACTGGAGATGACCTTTGGAATTCATGTCACCTCCAAACAGCTGCGAAACTTCTAGTGTGGAGTCATCCATGGGTAGCTACCTGGAGACCAGTACTCTCAATCTGGAAGACCTCCAACATCGAGCAGTTCTGACAACGTCGCTACGGTCTAGGACATCATGTCCACCACAGTCGCCAAGGCGCGGGTTGATGGCATGGACCGGACGCACCTGGAATGGAAAGACCAATATTTTCTTCGTGGAAGCTGAGCGCTGGCGGTTACATCGAGCATTTCAAGAAGAATATCTTCCCCACGTGTCGTGCCCGACCTTCTTGGAAACTTTGTCCTTCTACAGCATTGGGTGCCACCACGTGGAATCGAAGGGCGTTGGAGAAACTCTCGCCAACCTGGAATGGGAGGGGGCTGAGTACCTAAAAAAGAGGGAATATCCGAGGAGGTCATCTGACTTGAATTCCCTTAATTACCCGGTTCGGGCGGAGTAATAGCGCTGGGTCCTAGACGGTGGCGGAGAATATCGACTTATCTCCCGCTTGATTCTCAGGCACCACATCCGCAGTTGCGTGCCCAAGAATCTCAATGCGCCCTCCAAAAAGGCTGTTGGCGGAGTTGTCGTGAAGTAGTATTTGACATAGCCTCTCTTAAGTATGGTGGTGAAGCTGTCCACATCAGAATTTATACAAGTGTAACCTTAATAGGCGCCTCGAAAGTCAACTGACAGCACAGCGACTTTTTTTTCGCGTCCCCGCCTGTATTCCATTTTCAGCTGCATGAATTTACCAACTTTCTAACGAATTCACGCACCGTTGTGAAATCCGCAGCGAATTAATTAAACCAGATCATCGCAAGACACACCGCAAGTTCCGCCCGGACGCTACTCTACTAGTTCATGCCACCGACGTTCACAAGTTGGAAACATTTCGCTTATCATAGCTTCTGCCCTCCCTATAAATTTTTTTGTCTTTCGCGAATGTTTTGCACAATAGCCGTTGAGACAAGGAGGACACCAACACGCGACTAGGCGCATTTTTTTACTGAAGTTCATTAGCGAGACAGCCTTCGAACTGCCACAACTTTTTACCTCGTTAATTTCTCATCCACCCTCCACAGAACGAAAGCGTACTTAATAGACCCAGCATTTATGCCACTAACACACCTCCCGAGATAACTTGCCTCTATCGCTTCGAAAATTTTTTATCATTTTTGGACTGCTGAGAAGCCTCGGCACCTATGAGAGAGCTCGCCCACTTTCGTAGAAGCTTCTGCCCACATTGGTAAAATGGCGACCTGATCATAGACAATCGCGAGAATTCGACATTTCGAAGGAGAAAGTCGGAAAGTTTCCCAAATAGTATGGCTAAAGTGGGGCGGCGATGTGCAGCGGAGCTTATCTGTGTCGGTGCATAAACGCGCACCTATAGGTGTCCCGTTCTGTGAAAACGTGTATGTGAAGTTAACAAGATGTAAAAAAGTCAATTGTTGTGTTCTTCGATAATAGGCAGCAGGCGGAATATTTATAGGAAGACAGTAGAATGGCAACATAGCAAGATGACCCATACATATACCGCTCTGCCTGTCAAAGTTTCCAGACAAACCAGGCAGATCTGTTAGAGCACTGGATCGAATACCGTCATAGGTGGGATCAAGGTTGCCTCAACATCGCCCTCTCCTCAATGTTGGGCTGCCGTACAGTACGGTCAATCTGAAGATATTCTGGGCGGGGTGTCGGGTTGCGCTTGATTGTGGTTTGCAAAAGTCGTTAGCTGAGTAGCTGTTGTAGTTTGTTGTTTGTTGCTTGGGGAGCAAGTGCAACCATAGGGACGCGGCGTCGTAAGAAGTGAATGGTAGAAGTGGCCTCGGATGATGAAGGCGATGTGGCTTTAAATCGTAATCGAGACGCTCATCAACTCTTGTGTAGGCTTCCTCGCGATTGCTCCGTGGGAGGAGCTGGTTGACGTGGCGGCCTCCAGAAGAATTCACAAACGTTCAACTCGTTGTAGATAGTGCGTCCACTTCACATGGCATCCGTCTTTACGTCCCAACTGGGTTGTACATGTTGATGAGTCGCGAGCGGTAGAACCATTCTCTCTTGTTGGAACGCTCCGTGGTATGACTCCAATGTTGTGGTTTGAATACGCCTTTCGTCGTCTTACGTGTCGCAAACAAGTTCTGGCTTTTCGTTCGTCTTCAGCAGGTCGAGTGTGTTTCAAAGACGTCTTCCGATGAAGTTTTCTGCAGAACAGCGTCCGTCGGGCGAAGCGGAGCATGGTGTGTTCCGGTAGGTGAGAAGAAATGTTTGAAGAGCTTCATGTTCGTCCATAGTTCTTCAGCTTCCCTAGCGTAGCGTGCGCTTGAATGTAACCACAAAACGCTCAGCTTGTCCGTTAGAGGGTGGAACAGCGGCTACCGAATATGCTCGATTCCTTTGTTATTGCAAGGTCCTGGAACTCGGCAGCGGTGAACATAGTTCCACTATCCGAGAAGATGAGGCGAGAAAATCCAAACTGAGCGAGCAGGCGACGAAGTTCCCCATTGTGGCAGTGCTGGTGGTGGAAGTCATTGAGAAGACTTCAAGGCATTTGGAGAGCGCGTCGACGACCACCAGATACGATATTCTATGGACTGGGCCGGCAAGGTCGATGTGGATCCTGCTCCACGGCCCATCCGAACGAATCCGAGAATAGAGCGAGTTCTTGACGGGCGACGTGGCGGTTTCTTGGATCATCGTAAGAACGGATTAGTTTCTGAGTCCTCGTTGATCCTCCTTTAAAAGAAGTAGTGATTAGTGAGAGCTTTCATGCGGTTCACTCCTGGATGTCCTTTGCGTAGCATTCTCAGAAGAGACGGCTGGTGTGCTGGCGGGATGACGATGCGACTTTCAAAGAGCAGGCATCCTTGCTGTGTTGTGAGGGCTCGTGGTCCGTGAGCAAGGTGAAGCGGCGCCCGCAGATATGTCGATGAAATTCCCTGGCAGCGTAAATGAGCTCCAGGTTTTTCTTCATTTGGCCGTGGATCTTCTCAGCGGTAGTGAGGAGCGGCTGGTGTGGTAGAAAGCTTTCTCTGTTCCGTCTTGATAGCGGTGACGAATGACTGCTCCGATCGACCCCATAGTCTGAGGCGTCGGCCGCGACGATGATGGGTTTTGGATGGCAGTGAGCCAAGAGCAGGTCCAAGCGAATATTTCCGGAGCGCGTTGGAAAGCGGTTTTGCATTCGGATCTCCAATCCAACTGAGCTTCTTTCTTGAGCAGTGCATCAAGCAGTACGCGGAGCTGGCGCATTTACTTGATGAACGCGTCGTAGTGATTAATAAATCCGAGGAATGACCGGACCTTGGCGGTACCCTTCGGTGTTGGCATCTTGGAGGTAGCATCGACCTTCTTCGGAACGGTTTGGCGTCCGGCAGCTGCGATGACGCTCCCGAGGTAGGTGAGCTGTGTCATCACGAAACGGCACTTGTCGATGAGACACGGAAGCCGTGGTCGGATACCTTTGAAAATAGGACTCCCATATTGGCGTTGTGCTCGGAGAGAGTGCGGCCGGTGACGATGACATCGTCGTGGTAGGCAGCAGCGCCGTTGAGTCCGGCGATCATAGAGTCGATCTGCTGAAAGATGCCAAGGGCTGACTTGGCTCCAAACGGCAGAGGGGTGAGGAGCCCTCGTGAAAACGTGGGCAGTGGGTGCTTGTGCAACAGCAATACGTCGCTGAGTCCCGTCCAGAAATCGGCACAAAGCAGGATGGACTCATTGGTGTGGGGATCAGGCTACGCCAAAAGATCATGGATTTCGATGAGAGAATGCGACCGTACCCGGGTTGTTTAACGAAGTTAGCAGCCTCTAATTACTACCTCCTTTGCTCCCTATCGCATAATTTGAAAAGCGGATTCCAAAAATCGACCTCAACTCGAAAATGGGGTCCACCTCTTCTTTTTATCACAGTTGCCGTAGTTCTATGAGGATGGAAATGAGAAGTGTGCAAGAGAAGGGCACTAGTCCCAGTCATCAACTGCGATTACCTCGTAGATTGGAGATGTCTTCTAGTGACGGAAAATCTAGTCCGAAAAATTTGCTTTAAGTGTTGCCTTACTTTTCGAAGAACCTAATAGTATACTCTCGAAGGATCAGAGATAGCCTTTGGCACTTCTTCGATGGCATCATCTTGCAGGTTTTGGTTGATTATTTTTTTATACCAGCGTTGGAATGGTTTGTTTGGGCTATCAGCCTTTTCATGGCCATATTACGGTGCCTGTTGGTTCTGCTAGGTTCCAATTCAACGGAAAGGGAGCTGTAACGTAACTGATGCTAATGATATGAGAACGTATGCTAATGATTTTGCGTACCTCGGGAGACACGCATACGTCCTTTCTTCACTGAGCCCCTCTTTTGCGGATATGCCGCCGCTAAATGAGTGCGCTCCCGCGACAAACTCACTCGCTCACTCACTCACTCGCTCACTCACTCATCCGCTCGCTCGCTCACTCACTCATTCACTCACTCATTTACTCACACACTCACTCACTCATTCACTCATTCACTCACTCGCACACTCACCTACTTACTCAAAGACACGGACCACACATATTCCCACACAAACTCGCTCACTTACTCACTCCTTTGCGCGCTCACTCATTCTAAAAAGCGAGATGGCGTTCAGCGGAAGAAAGGGCTGGAAATGAAGTAAGAAGTTTCACTCATTTCGATAAATAGTGGATGATCATACTGTATGCAATTTTAACTCCATGACTAGGCGTTGCCGAGATTTCACTGATTTGCGCGAAAGTATCAGATGTTAAAGCGTTTACTGTTGCGTAGCTGTTTGCTCCATAGGAATATACCCCTCTTACAGCTAGTTGAATTTTGCGAGGAGTTTGTTCAGGTAATTGATCCTTGGTAAGGTGATTTTGGCTTTTGATATCGTTTCCGTCCAGTAGAATTATGGCTAGGGAGCTGGAACCGCTTATAATTTTGACCGTTGCTGCACATGTTGAAAATTAAAAAATTGATGTGGTCGCTCGAAATACTTTTATGATATGTTCAAGGAATGTTCACCAGATACGGTAGGCACATTTGTAATTAGCATCTAACGTCGCAGTCAGAGGGTATACATCTCATCCCAAATGGTCACTTCGATTAACCACGCTTTCCCGGTCAACGCGAAGTCGCAGCTGATAGCACGCAGGGCCACCCTTTCCAACCGGCCTAGTGAAGGCGCCATTCTGAAGAAATCTCCACACCTGTGCGAAAAAAAGGCTTGGTTATGAAGTATAACCACATGTGAAGGTAAGCATTCACAAGAAAGTTCAGAGAACGGCTGGGGAATGCTAGTCCTAACTTTCACATAGGAACTTCAGATGTACTGAAAACTTTGCAGTGAAACAGAAGGCTTATTATAGTAAACTCCAGCCAGGAGACAGAGATAGACGATTATCAATTGAAGTGTGGGACTGGGATCGCACCTCACGGAACGACTTCATGGGAAGCTTGTCTTTTGGAATTTCGGAGCTGCTCGCTGAGTCAGCATCTGGATGGTTTAAACTTCTCAACGCGGTACGTCATTTTCTACAACCAAATTGAGCATTTATATGCAGCAAAAACGTAACACGCGCAAAAGTTCGTCGAATTGTCATGGATCAATGAGCGCATTCTCGACTGTTCATCAGATCACCATCTCACGACTTAACAAACAGAGTTTCTTAATCACCAAGGTACCTATATTCGGTACAAATTTCACCTTGAATAAAGAAATAAAGAAATCTTCTTCTGTCGGATCTCAAGCGCTTATTTCGAACACCACACACTTATTCTTTGATCAGCCTTCAGACTCGCACGTTTTTGGGCTGAAAATGAACTGCGTCTTCCCCAACACTGCAATACACTTCGAATTCAGTGCAATAGCCCCAAATTTCCTTAGTAGATGAGAATGTAATCGGAATCTGGAACCCATCTAACCCGTTTATAGTGTCGCTCCATGAGCTCCGCCTTTAGTCTACACGGGTACCTAGCCCGCCCAAGGAGGGGAAGGACAGAGTTGGTGAGGGCAGTACTGTGGTTGTCGTTGCCTTTCCGTCATTCCGAATAGCCTCAGATGTATTCGCCCTTAAGAACTCCGTACTCTATGTAGAGCCTCTTCGTGTGTAGGCCTCATGGGTCAGAGGCTTCGACCTTACGTTACATAAAATGTGGACCAGTCCCTTTCCAGATGAGTGGACTTGTCTCGGAAACTGACCTTCAGAGGTAGAGTTCTCCACTAGTGCTGTTGTGTAGCGAAACATACAGACAAACCGCAGCAAATAATGTGAAGAGTGATATATCTAAGGGTGATGCCTTCAAAACATTGTATATTACAATTCATCATGGTGCGTAAAAGCGACGATAAAAATTGAAAAAGTGCAAACCACGTGCCACGAATCCAAGAACTGTCAGGAACAGTGTTTTAATACCCGCGCATGCTTTTTTTATATGTTATGCCGTTCAGGGCCCAAAATGCATCTACGACATGCAACATCGACAAATCGCACCAACCGTTCACCCTGAGGAATTTCAAGGTGAATTTAGTCATGCAATTGAGGGCACTGGCCGGATTAATGCAAGATGCTCACGAATTCAAATAGCCCTGGATTCAGCCCCAAGGATGGGGCTGTTTCTGTTTGTAAGAGTCTGACCGTTAAGAAGGAACGTCAAGCTTCAACAAAGCGAAGTGTAATGAATCAATCAACGTGCTCCCTCAAGCAATCAGTAATGAAAACAAAGTTCGATGACATCCTAGCAGAAAGGCAAATTGGAAACGTTTTGTGTCACTTCAATGCCAAGAATTACTCCTCAAATTGGAACCGAAGAGATCTAAAACCACTTTCATCACCGGTTACAAGTCAACATCCTGCTCCGGCGAATACATGCCACGAATGCGATATCTGAGAAGCGGAAGTGTAGATAACAGTCTTTCATCGCCAGTCCTCTAGTTCAACTTGTTTTAAGAAGTGTTCGAAAACTGTTTACAATGCAGTCATACTCAAGCTTGAAAGATTGTTAACTCTCACAAAGGCATCAAAGAGAACCGCAAGAACATCTAAAAACCATATCCAAAAGAGGAGACTTCTAATGTTGACGCCTCAGTCAGTCCTTCACTAATGTGCCCTCATCAGTCAATGTTATAGCTAGAATAAAAGCGCGAAACAACATAGCTAATGAGCGCCCAAAATGCATCTACGACATGCAACATCGACAAATCCGACCAACCGTTCACCCTGAGGAATTTCAAGGTGAATTTAGTCATGCAATTGAAGGCACTGGCCGGATTAATGCAAGATGCTCACAAATTCAAATAGCTCTGGATTCAGCCCCCAGGATGGGGCTGTTTCTGTTTGTAAGAGTCTGACGTTAAGAAGGAACGTCAAGCTTCAACAAAGCGAAGTGTAATGAATCAATCAACGTGCTCACTCAAGCAATCAGTAATGAAAAACAAGTTCGGTAAGCTAGCTAGCAGAAACGGCAAATTGAAAAACGTTTTGTGTCACTTCAATGCCAAGAATTACTCCTCAAATTGGAACCGAAGAGATCTAAACCACTTTCATCACCGGTTACAAATCAACATCCTGCTCCGGCGAATACATGCCACGAAAAATCTCTGGAAACGGAAGTGAGATAACAGTCTTTATCGCAGTTCCTCTAGGTTCAACTTGTTTATAGGAAGTGTTCGAAGAACTGTACAATCAGTCATACTCAAGCGTTGGAAAGTGTTAACTCTCAACAATGGCAAAATCAAAGGAGAACCGCAGAACCTCTTAAACCATATCCAAAAGAGGAGACTTCTAATGTTGACCCTCAGTCAGCTTTCACTAATGTTGACCCTCAGTCAGCTTCAATGTTTATAGCAGAATAAAGGCGAAACAACATTCAATGAGCGCCCAAAATGCCATCTACGACAATGCAACATCGAAAATCGCACAACCGTTCACCCTGAGGAATTTCAAGGTGAATTTAGTCATTGCAATTGAAGGCCACTGGCCGGATTAATGCAAGATGCTCACCAATTCAATAGCTCTGGATTCAGCCCCAAGGATGGGCCTGTTTTCTGTTGTAAGAGTCTGACCGTAAGAAGAACGTCAAGCTCCACAAAGCGAAGTGTAATGAATCAATCAACGTGCTCACTCAAGCAATCAGTAATGAAAACAAAGTTCGGTGATAGCTAGCTAGCAGAAACGGCAATTGGAAAAACGTTTTGTGTCAACTTCAATGCCAAGAATTACCCTCAATTGGAACACCGAAGATAAACACTTTCATTCACCGTTTACAAGTCAACATCCTGCCTCCGACGAATACATGCGCCTCATCTCTGGAAACGGAATTGAGATAACAGTCTTTCATCGCAGTTCCTCTAGGTTCAACTTGTTTTTAGGAAGTGTTCGAAGAACTGGTTTACAATCAGTCATACTCAAGCGTTGGAAATTGTTAACTCTCAACAATGGCATCAAAGGAGAACCGCAAGAACCCTTAAATCATCATTCAAAAGAGGAGACTTCTAATGTTGACCCTCAGTCAACTCCAATGTTAATAGCAGAATAAAGCGAAACAACATGCAATGATTTGCAGGTTCAGATAGGGAAAAAAGTGCCAGGATTATCGTCACCTTTAAGTGAGTAATCTTAGTGAGTTGCGGGAAGCCATCACAGACCATCCTCGAGAAACCAGTAGAGGAGGTCAATACTTACTAGGTTGCCGGAAAGTTCTCAGCGTTTTGGGTGTTTCACTTTAAACGATCGTAACTTCTTTAATACTCATCGGATTTACTTCGAAGTAGGAACCATTCGATTCAGCACACTTTTGCCAATGTGACAGCTGTTGAGAAATCCCATCAAAGTAAAAAACTGGGTGTTCGAGAGCTTACGAAATCCACCAAGGCTTTTTTGCCTGTCCTGATTGATGAAGTAATTTCCAGCAAGGTGTTCTGAAAATGTTAGAAAAGGTGATAGTCGGTTGGTGAAAAGGTCTGAAGAATATGCGGTTTAGGTAGAAGTCCAACCCCATACTTCGTTTCAATTTATGGATAGTGATTTGTAAACGTGTGTGGGCGTTGTCATGCGAAAGTATCGGACCCTCTCTTTTGATAAATGTTGGCTGGCATCTGACAAAATTTTCGGTACAATTCGTCGATTTCTTCACAGTAGGGTCTGCTGTGATGGTTTGGCCTGGCGATAAAAGTTATAGTGGATCACACCAGCCGATGACACCCAAGCCGTACCAGAATCTTTTGTTCGTGAGAGTCCGGCTTTGAAAATTACCTCGGTTGTTCGTCGAAATCCAACCACTGTCCGGAACGCCTCCTGTTATCATACATGACCCTATTTTCACCACAGTGACAATTCGGTTTAAAAACGGATCCGTTTCTGACAGTGAACAAGAAAGCGCGAGACGTGCCAATTTCTGCCGGTCACTCAAATTGTGGGGCACACAACGTCGAGTTTTTTATCCTTCCCAATCTTTTTCAGTTCATCTGCAACACTGGTATTGCTAAGCCTATTTTCTGCAATCTCTCGAACTGTTTGGGATGGGTCAGCCTCCAGAATCCCCTAAAATCCTCGTCAGATATTCTGCAGGTCGACCGCTATTGAGGTTCATCTTCAAAGCTGAATCTCCAGAACGAAATGTGCTGAGCCATTGCCGCACAGTGCTTTCTCTAGCACTATTGGCCCTCACACCTGGTTTAATTTGTTGAGTTGTTTCGATAGCGGATTTCCCCAATTTATAGTCGAAGAGAAAAGTCGTTCGAAGTGCTCTTTTCACATGCTTGAAAAATTCTTGAAAAATAGGGACTAATCAAGCAATGGTGAAACGGCAATTATACCATCAGATAGCGCAAGAAATTCCTACAGGATGTGCTATTGAGAAGCAAGGCAGAAGTTTGACTTTAATCAGCAGTGAATGTACAAAAAAGTGCACAAAACGCTGAGAACTTTCCGACAACATAAAACCAATCTGAGTACTTCGAAATGACTTCAAGCAAAGTATGACTGAGGTAGAAGAATTTGGAAAGAATTTGATTTGGGCAATTTATGGAGTGTGATAAAAAGCTGATGTGAGTATGCTGAGCTGTAATGTATTGATAAAGCGGAAAGAGCAGCACGGTGGATAACATTCAAGGAGCTCATCACTAGTACGGTTCAATGTTTAGAAGCTGCTCAGTTGTATGCAAATTACGCTACATGAGTTGTGGCCAACAGCTCCGCAAAATGTTGACGTTTTTAAATGAGTATCCTTCGAGTATCCTCGGAAGCACTCCTCAACTTCACAAAACAAAGAAGGTAACGAATACAGAAGGCATAGTACCGAGAACCAAAGCTATGCTCTAAGGCAGCGTTCATACTTGTAGCGCTACAGCGTCGCGCTACTGTGTCGGCATCACGCGTCGCGCTACTGCATCGCGCTACAGCGTCGCGCTCCTGCGTCGCGCTACAGCGTAGCGCTGCAGTGCCGCTTCGCAAGTACTGCAATTCCCAACGTTAGGATGATTGGAGTTGCTTACAGAGAAAAGTGGGAAGGTTGTTGGAGTTTTCTTGAGAAATTCACGGAAAGGTGAGACTGATACAGCTGTAACTATCTGACCGTCCTGTGACATATACTCCATTGGTCACTATTTTTCTGGTACTTGCTTTTAGCGTAACAGTGTCCTTTGTCCTATTAAGAGCATTTTCTGCAAAAAACACCCAAAGAGTACTCGCGCCACCTAAAACACGCATGCATGTTTTTTTTTACCGGGGACACAAGAACCATACAGGAACTTCTTGTTTGCATTGTGCTATACGCATTGTGATCAGACAGTCTTCGCGTGTCTGTTGTGGGAGATAAGGCCATTTTTTTCTGCTGCCGACAAATGCCACTCAATACTGATACTCTCCTAGGCCAAAAAAAGTACAAAAATTGTCAGGCTTTGTTGGCTGTGAATGCCTCAAAAACCGGCATAAATCTTTTTCCTGTGATCCAGGCAGAGATTGGGGGCAAACTCTAAAGCAGATTTCGCTCCATAATCGATAAGCGGCATTGGATTCGTATCATTCTTTCTATATTCAATCCTCTTCTCTTTGTTTCTCATATTTATCTAATAGTGAGCTCCTGTTTTCTACTTTATCACATTTTAATGTAGTTTCGCAACCGGGATCAAAACGAGGCAGCACTGCAAGGCATCAAGCAAGCCATCAAACATCAAGCAACTGTGAAACCAAATAATTAAAGTCAAAAATGATAAATAAAACCATTATCACAGTCTTCTGTATCAAAACTACATCAAAATGTGATAAAGTAGAAAACAGGAGCTCACTATCAGATAAATATTAGAAACAAAGAGAAGAGGATGATATAGAAAGAAAAAACATAAAAGCTGGAGTTCGGTACAACTGTTGCCCTACAGTTGTACCGAACTCCAGTTGTACCAGCGCTACGCTGTAGCGCGACGCTGTAGCGCGACGGTAGCGCGACGCAGTAGCGCGACGCTGTAGCGCGACGCTGTAGCGCTACAAGTATGAACGCTGCCTAAAAGGGAAGTTCAGAACCCGAAGCTAGTCCCCAAGGAGGCTTCCTGAATAGGGAAAAGTTCCAGTTCAAATCAGTCTTAACATGTAAGACGTCTTAATATTCGCCACGGGACCGCCATTTAGCAAACTACTAATGAAGTGTGAGTTTGTTTCCTTACACTGACCCGAGAAAAGCCGGTATCCATATCTCCCCAACTTTTGATGGAAGCGAGAACCATTCAACGTTCCCAAATCTTTTCTCAACGTTTCTGACCTGTAGAGATGGAATAGGAAGAACTTATTTGAAAGAACTACGGAAGTTCTGTCAAATGTGAAGGTTCAAACGTGCTTCAAGAGATCGCATCCATATGGATGTTCCTGTGATGAAGGAAAAAAGTGGTTCCGTGAAGTGGCTGATATGCTGTCTACAAATTAATTCAACGAGTGCAATATGAGATCAGTTGAGTTTGTTAGACCATTTTCCCACCACAACGTAATCACTATCTACTACGCAATCCACTATCGTCCTCATTCCTCGCGTCATAGAAGAAAGGGAATCAAATGAACATATCGATCAACCAGCATCATTGAAGAGAAGAATCAGTCATACCAGCTCGAGCGGCTGCCATGCTCCGCGAAGGAAAACAGAACATGTCGCACGCCATTTAGTGGCTGACTTAATTAGCTGAGGTGGCTGAAAACATACGCTTTTTGACGAAGTGAGCTTAACGTTGTCAAAACGGATACGTGGCTTGGAAGAAACTAAACTTCTACTTTAATGAGTGCACGATTAACAGAGCAGCAAAACCCAAGTCAGCGCCACAATAGAAAAACTTATGCTTCCTGACGAAGTGAGCTCTACTCTGTCAATCAGCGGATACATACCTCTAGTCAATGTCAGATAAGAATCCGGATCCGAGTCTTTTGAAGGCCGCCTTCTTAAATGGAGGGCAGCGTCCCCCGTCTT